GTTACAACGTGGACACCTGCGGGTTATAAAAAAATGCGGCCTATATATATATGTACAATTATTTATTTATTTATTAATTTAGTGGGTGTGGCTTATATTCAGGTGTGCTCAATAGTCCAAAAATTACGGTAGTTTCTTTTAAGGTGCCATACCAGACACGTTGTACTCTAAACTTGACTCGACTAAAGTCAAACTATACTTAGCTTAATTGACTAAATCGGAATTAAAACTTAGTTACCGTTTAGTCAAAGGGCTAAGACTAACTCAAAATTGGCTGTTAGCCCCCCCCCCCTGCAAACAAACATTGATTTCTTTTCTAGACTGACGTCATCTAAAACAATGTTTTCTCACTATTTAAAAAACAAAGAGTAAAAATGCTTATAAAATGTTTTATTGTAAGAACATTATTAAAGAAACTAAGGAAAGGTGCGATCCTTAAAAAGTAAAAGTGCACTCGAACGTGAAAATGATGAACAGTGCGAGTGATCATACTGAGAGAACACTCAAGTTTAGCCCAGAGTTAATTATCGCTTTGCTCGGTCACTGATAGTTTTATTACACTTCAGTGAAATCCCCGGGCTCAGAAAAGCTCATTTTAAGGGACATAAATTTAGAAAAGCTGGGTTAAGAGTTTATTAATGATGGGCAAAAAAAAAAAAAAAAAAAATCAGGCCTAGTAAAAAGCTCTTTGCTGCAAAAAAGGACAAATCCCGATCGTGCTTTTCATACAGCACATTATTAGTTCTACTTGGCCCGGGGCTATGAGTTGGCCCAAGGCTAACTGAGCACAGTTTTATGCATATTGCCAATTACCCTAGAGCAATTCCAAGGCATCTGTTGACATGAGTGATATCTGCTGTTCTGTGATCCTGGAAAATCATAAAAAAAAGTGGATTTCTTTCCTTTTCTTTTTTGTGAATACATGAATCCAACGCTTGGATTCGTAAGGACGTCTGTTGACACACCGCATACGTAAACATTAAGGGACAACAGCCAGCATCTGCTAATGACAACTCATCAGCTTAGTCTGTGAGAGATGTTGATGAGTTCATTACCACAGGTCCTGGGTGAAGGATGGCGAGTCATTAAGGCGGGGAAAAAAAAAAATCACGTCACCTTTTCCTTCTTCTGAATTTGCATGTCGTGTGCGTCCGCGTGTGAGCCCGAGCCAGAGACGAAGGGCACAAACAGCTGCACGCTGATGTACTTTTAATAGGTAGGTGGACGCGTTTCCAATTAATATAGGCTCAAATCAACCACACTTGGCTGCAGGTCAGCGGTCTGTCAATGGAGTTGTCGATGGGTGGAGAAGACGAGACGAGGAGAGCGGTTTATGTTTCAGAAGTGGATTTCCAGGGAAGACGATAAGGAAGAGGTCGGGAATAGTGGTAATAAAAGAAAATGTGAATGTATTTATGTGTAAATGGTTTATATCACGGGTTTTTTTAATGTGTGTGTGTTTGAGTATTCACGGCCATGCTTTATCACCTTAGGTGGACTGTCAGAGCCTGGGTACTCCCTCTGATCCAGTTTGTTCCAGCGCTGCATCAATTTAATGACTATGGGCTTGCTGAAATCCACCAGCTGGAACCCAGTCACGTTTGCACCACCATGCATGAACCTCTCCAGAGATATGTCCTTAAAGCCCTGGGACGGAGAGACAGAAAGACATTTATAGAGAAGAAATTTCACATTTAGAAAAAAAACTAGGTTTGTGACCAAAAGCTCTCGATAAAAATTTCGAACCGGTGTATGCGTTTTCATCACACTCGGTTTTTATCCCCAGTTAACATGGAGCCATTTCCGCCTCATAAAGTGAGACAGTTGTGATGAACGATCATGTTTAAAAGAGTGTGCAGACATGTCAGAGCTGGGCTGGTGTGAGAGATGCAAATGGCTGAAACCTCTGAGAGCCTGTGCCGCTTCACTCGCACTCAGCGGCCAAAATTTATTTTTTTTATTTTCTGCCTCAGCATACCACAGAGGACTGCTGTTGAACAGATTTTAGGGATTAAGGCTGCAGCAATATTTCATTTACTGACATGGGCTGTGACAGCATCTTACAGCTGTGACTCTGCCAAACGAGAACAAATGGGAATAAGCAAAAATCTAATGAAAGGGGGAAAATGGGGGGAAAAAAGCATTGGGTTTTTAAAAAAAAAATTGGATTCCTGCAAATTGACAACCTTTACAACTGTTTCTTTTTTTTCCGCAAACCATAACTACACATTCTAACTAATCAAAATGGTAAAAATCTAATTGAAGAGAATTAGACCATTTGGTCAGAATAAAATATAGGCACGCGCAGCACAAGGCTTCATTCAAATGCTCAGAAAATACTACAAAAAAACTGCAGTTCAGTGTCTTACTGACCTTGTGGGTAGTTTAAATGAGTAGCTTGTCAGTTTGAAGGTGTTTTAACGTCAGGGATGAAGATACTGTAGCAGTAGAACCTACTGCAATAGTTTTTCCGTGAGGATATGTGCAAAAGCACGTGCAGTCGCAGCATTGTGCTGAATACACTGACGTCTTTTCCCAGATGAGAACTTCTCAAATAGTGGGGCGGGACCCCTGGGGTGGGCGCGGTTTATTATTATTAATTATTTTTGTGGGAAAATAATTAAGAACCACTGATCTAAATTAACATCACAGTGGCCAGATGAGGCGTTTGCACCTCAACAAGTCACTTTCCGTTAACCTGTACGTATTTCAACTAACAACCCAGACAACTAACAGTTCAACAACACTCGGTTTACCACTAGAACCGCCGAGATTCCGAAACTACTTGAACAGCCGCGTTCTGACCTTCTAAACTCTATAATCGCTCAAGATACCTTCCCAAATGAAAGATAAAAGGATTAATGTTGTTATGATATCTTCAAAACCACAAAATAACAAATGTGTATTTTAACACATTTAACATTCACATTAGCGTAAATTCACGGCATTGCGTTTATTCAAAGCGGCGTAATCAGCGATAAAACCGCGATAATGGATACAGTATAACCGTATTTGATTAGGAAATATTTTAACACTGAGAACAAGAATAACAATAAACTCAAAATTACACCGATATATATTTGAACTATTTACATTGACGTTCTCACAGCTAAGACATGTGATTTGTTTTCTTGTTGTTGTACAGTTACCACAAAACGGTTTGTGGCATTTGCAGCAGGTGTCGAAAGTTTTTGGTTGTAACTTTTTCTAGTCTAAGTCGGTAGCATTGTGTAGCCGTTAGCATGCCTGCCTTAGAAGCAGAGAGTAGATACATATACACATAAACATATACCTACCAGGTTGGCTATGATGTAATGGAAACCTTTGACATGTTTCCCCACACTGACAGCCTGGAGACAGAAAGAGAACAGAGAAAGAATTGTTTTTCACGGACATGAGACATGAAGCATTTAAAATCAACTAAGCGCCGCTGCTTTAATTAGGTTCCAGTGCTCAAGGCACGGAACTAATAGTACAGATGATTGACTCCCTCGAACAAATGGATCACTTGTTCTGCAAACATTGCAGGGACAACACTTATTTTGCAATGATGTTTGGGGAAATGATAAATGGTTTATGTACAATTATCTACTGAATCAAATATCAGAAATATTGTTGGTGACGTTTCATCTATGACACTGCACTGTTTGGATGGATGGATGGATGGATGGATGGATGGATGGATGGATGGATGGATGGATGGATGGATGGATGGATGGATGGATGGATGGATGGATGGATGGATGGATGGATGGATGGATGGATGGATGGATGGATGGATGGATGGATGGATGGATGGATGGATGGATGGATGGATGGATGGATGGATGGATGGATGGATGGATGGATGGATGGATGGATGGATGGATGGATGGATGGATGGATGGATGGATGGATGGATGGATGGATGGATGGATGGATGGATGGATGGATGGATGGATGGATGGATGGATGGATGGATGGATGGATGGATGGATGGATGGATGGATGGATGGATGGATGATAGATGATAGATGATAGATGATAGATGATAGATGATAGATGATAGAGGATGGATGGATGGATGGATAGATGGATGGATGGATGGATGGATGGATAGATAGATGATAGATGATAGATGATAGATGATAGATGATGGATGGATGGATGGATGGATGGATGATGGATGGGTGGATGGATGGATAGGTGGATGGATAGAATGATAAATAGATAGATGGATGGATAGATGGATAGATGGATAGATGGATAGACGGATGGATGGATGGATGGATGGATGGATGGATAGATAGATGGATGGATGGGTGGATGGATAGATGGATGGATGGATGGATGGATGGATAGATAGATGATAGATGATAGATGATAGATGATGGATGGATGGATGGATGGATAGATAGATGGATGGATGGATGGATGGATAGATGGATGATAGATGATGGATGGATGGATGATAGATGGATGGATGGATGGATGATGGATGGATGGATGGATGGATGGATAGATGGATAGAATGATGGATGGATCGGTGATACTTAAAAAAATAATAAAATCCTTTGGATTAAGTTCCATTTATTGATGTTTTTGTGTCTTATTGTTCTGCTCCAACACTGAGTTCGTGCAGGGCTCGTGTCATCATCCTGTCCAACGGGACTGAGTAAACTGAGGAGATGAAATATAGCATTGTTGTGACCCCTGCATGGATCTACTTAATTAAGAGTTTGTTGCTGTTTCTCTCAGCCACACATCTCAGCAGTGATGCCCTGGCTCAGACACAGACACTGCAGCTGGCAAACGCAGACAAACAGAGCAGTGTCTGCCTCAAAGCCGGGGGAGAGCTAATGGTGGAGGCGCACAGTCCAATCTGATGCGAGTGGGAGTAAGTGTGTATGTGTGTGTATTCGGTTACACACAAGCAATGCCAATTAGGGACCGCCTGTCAGTCTGTCTGCGACGCTGTGTTTGCTGTTGGTGTGTGAATGGAGCTCCATTTACAGTATGTCTGGTGTTTAATTGTGTGTTTGTCTGAGGAGATCAGTTCATGTCTGTCACCATCATTTACAGCACTTTACACACACGGCCGTGACTAGATGTGGATAAGTTACATTTAGCCCTTTAAGGTTTTCTGTTAGACATGTATCTTCATTCATAAAATTATTTTTCAAAGAATTTAAGGAGTGTAGTTTTCTACAGTACATACTGTATTTAAGACTTTTTTAAAAAAATATATTTTATATCGTTCTGTGCGGTACTTTTTTCTCTTCTGGTCATTGAATTTGTCAGATGTGGCAGAACTAATGGGACATAACACTTTTTAATTTTATTTGGCACCAAACCATTAACCAAATATAACGTGATAGAAAGTACATTTTAAAGATTAAATATCATTATATTCATTTTGCCCTCATGCACCCTGCAAGTCTAAGGATGCATTGCCTAAATGTCCTTTGCCTGTCCAAACTCTGGACATAGCATATTTCTCCACTAGTTATTACCCGTCATGGTAACAATTTTTTTTTTATTATTCATAATGTAGGTTTTTGTGGACATCTTATATTTTGATATATATATTTATATTTATATTTTGATATCTTATTTCTAATACAATATTATATTTTTAAGAGATCCTAGAAGGTTTTATTTACTTGGGTTTAATTTCACACACACACACAGACACACAGATACGCAATATTATTGGCCGATACTAGAATAAGCATGTTATATTAGTTAACATTATTGAATTTTCCTCCAACAATGAGAACCAATAACGCAGTGCTTGGTTTTAGCCCAGGTGATGTGACCTAAAAATAGTTTTGTAGTGAACATGAATTATTGTCATGGTGACACGAAATGAAATGGATCCTCTGCCATTTTACCCAAACGGCTGCGTATATTGGTATTGGTTAATATTGGAGTCGGAAATGAAGTGTTTGGACAAAAGCTGGCATATCAGATATCGGCAAAAAGTTAATATTGGACATCCCATATATACGTATATATAAATATACAGTGGACCTCAGAGATACAAGTTTAATGCGATCCACAACAGCACTCGTGTGTCGATCCACTCGTATCTAGATCAAATTTTCCCCCTTAAAAAAATAAAAATAAAAACCAATTAATTTGCTCCAGCCCTCCAGTAATATACTATTAACTTGTCCCCCATCTAAAGATCAAAACAAAGATATAAACAAATATATTTATAATATAAAATAATAATAATGAAGAAAACATTTTATATTATTATTGTTATAAAAATGGGTAAAATAACCAAGTGAGGGACAGAGAGCGAGACAGCGAGTGTCAGGGCCACTAAGGTAAGACAAGGATTATATTTTTTATTTTATTTCATTAAACACTAAAGGTTCACTAAACGACCTCCGCAGCTGCTTTTGGCATCAGAGCTCACGACTTCCCCATGCCGTACGACTGAATGGATGAACTCGTAACTACATATTTCCTCGTCTTACGAGCAAAATCTTGCAATAGCTGCAAGACTTGTAACATGGAATACTCATATTCTGGGAAGCTCGGAATATATGGCCAATCTTAATCCCCATCCTCCAATCTGACTCTAATTATCTTTCTAGCACCAAACATAAACATTAAACTTCTCTGAGTATGCAGACCTATTTTTATTTTAAGGGAACGTTTAACAAGAGGAAGGAAAATATGACGTTTGTTCTTTCTGTGTTCCCAGAATCATGGAGTTATCCTTTCCCCACAGTGTTAGTTATACCAAACACACACACACACACACACACTCTTAACACAAGTGAAACATTCGAACCAAGCCAGACAGTCCACATAATAAGCCTGGACAAGCATACGGTGTAAGAGCGTGGGCCCATGTGAGCGTGGGCGAAGTTTAAATTCTGAGTGGACGGTTTCCTGCAGAACCGCACTGATGTGAATGTCGGGGAAGTCACATTTTTCATTCAACAGCTCCAGGGGAAATCTCAAACCTTGTTTTCTTTCCAGATGTCAAAAAGAATAAAGAGTGCTGCGGCAGCTCTCTGATTGGAGCAGACAGCAGGCAGACCGACACGAGTATGACTGTTGGAGAAAAAGTCCCCGGTGCAGGCTGCGCTGGTCTGTGATGTAAAACAACCTCTAATTGTTTTTAATATGCTCAGGGAGTCTCGTTTTCATTACTTAACAAAAGCCTTTTTAGCATGATGTGGTTAAACGTGTTGGTAATGTGTCAGCGTCGTTGGCTGCTAAGTGGTCCTAAAATCGGGGTCATCGGTGATGTAATCTCCACTCTGAATGACGACCGAAGTCGGACAACGTAAAGGTGCAGCAGACAGCGCAATGTAAAAGAAAATAAAAAAAAAATTAAAAAAAATCTATTGAATTAAACACAGCAACTATTGTTAATTACAGCTACTGTAATTGGAACTAGTGTTAATTTAAACATACATTGACTTTTATTTTATTAACAATACATGCGCTTGTTGTTGTTTGACTGCTTATTGTATATTTATATTGTTTATTATTTTGGTGGTAAAACAATCCTATGGTACATTTGGAGAAACAACCAATATTCTGACATCACAACAGAATACTGGGACACCACGTCACTCACATGGAGCCCACATACCGTCAACACCTTGTCCACATTTCGTCTTCTTTTTTTTAAATTTAAAAGCAATTATAATTTATAACATTGATATTGTTTTCTATCGTACAAGACCATCTGTACCAACTATATATGGTGGAAGGGGCCAGAATTTCTGAACAGACACCTTGGGGGCGGGACAAATTCAATTAAAAATCTTACATTATTATTTGATGTTTATTTTGGAATCGGTCCAGATTGGACGGTTAAGTGGCCTTAAATCGGCCTGCGGGCCGCCGGTTGATGGTCACTGACTGTATATTTCCGCAACCATTGGAGCCCTTTGGTGATGTTGGCTGTGGATGCTTTTTATGAACAGTCTATAACATACATTTCCACTGTCACCTGATGTCCCTGAAGGTGTGCCGCGACCCATAGATTGGGAATCTATAATGTGCAAAGACTTCAACTTCTCAACCTCTGTTGTTACATTTGCCTGCTGCTTCTGGTTAAGTTTATCTTGTCAGAAACATTACCTGCTCTAGGATGTTCTGTAATCTCTCGGGCTCCAGATCAATGACGTATTTCCTCTCTTGACGTCGATCCAGATCCTCAAGGAGGCGACGATACGCTGCCTCATTGAAACTCTCCACACAGATCGCGCTCACCTGAGTTGACACACATAGAATATATATATATATATATATAGAACAGAACGTGTTGATATAGTCATAGCATCAAAGACGAAGGTAATTCATAAAGGAGAAACCCAACAAGCAGGACATCAATAGTTTGTTTGTGTTACTAAAAATAAAAAAAACCTGAGTACAATAACGTGAACACATCGTGTATTTAGTCCTAACTACGCGCAGGCGACTGAGGTGAATATGAGTGTTCAGTGCTCATTCAGCATCTTTTCTCACAAAGTGTGAGTGTCTGTGCGTGTCCTCACCTGCCATCCGTTTTGCCCCGCTCTCTCCATAATTGCCTGCAGAATTGCATAACCTAGACAACAAGAGGAAAGGGAACAAAGACAGAAGGAAACACTTTAAAGCGGCGTGTGGAGGCTGCGGTCGGCACACAGATCTTTGGAGAATATGAACAAGTTTTAAGACTTTGAGTGTATGTGGAAATTCTGAAGGCTGTTCATTGTCGACTCTCACAGGCCAAGATTCTGGGGCGGGGAAAAAAAAAAGTGAATCACCCACGGAACTAGACTGTGGTCGTGTAATTGGTTGAAGTGACATTTAAATTAAAATGGATCTTAGGAGAACAAGATTTTTAGACGTGAACTTTGACTTGAAAACTTGAAACTCATCGGGTAGCTTCATGAACACACACTTTTGTATAATGGCAAGGCAATTTGTAACGAATACCTGATCAGAGTTTTGAAAAAGACGTGTTTGGATCATTGAGTAAGAGTATAAAAATTGAATTAGTATGACTATAGTCTCCGTGCCCCTTACCAGGGGTGATAAGAGGAGGTAAATAACTGCCATAGTGAACAGTAAGGCGTGTGCATACTGTCGTACTGTTAGACTTTTGCTCTCAAGTATATGTTATCTAAAAACTCCAAAAACAGTTTCAAGTAAAAACGACAAATACAAATATATACTGTCTTAATATTTGCATAAATATGTGTGTCCATGTGTTCACAGCTGCACTCTTCAGGCGTCTGCTTTTATATTACCTAAAGTCTCAATTACCCTTTTTTGTTTTCCTCCAGTTCATACTTCTACTTATATATAAAATACTCTGTCATCTCCAAACACGATGACAAGAATCCATCTTTTTTTTTTTTCCAACAGCAAATTCCACCAGTGCTTGTTTTACCCAAACATGTTCAGCACCACCCCCACATATTCCTCTGCCACTCCTCATACAACAAGTGTTATATACTGTAAATCCTATTGTGTTTACACTTCTGGTTTCTCCTTTACTCTATTTTCTGTCCCCTGGTTCTTTCTCCATTTCAAAGGATTACATTGCAGTACTCCAGAGGACCGCAAAAAGGAGAAGTAGGTAGTTATATATTGTATTTATATGCTTTAAACCTGACGTCACGAGACTCCTTACCTGCCGTTTGCACTCACTAATCTAATTTGTCCTTTGAAGCACTTTGCTCATTTTCTCCTACATCCTTTATCGACCTAACCTGCTGTACATCTATTTCCAAGATGGTTCACAAAACAAACAAAACAGATTTAAAGACTAGGCACCGCTGTGAAATATATGTTGACTATATGACTACGTACATGTTTCCTGTCTCCATGAATTATTAATGATGTTGGCTTTCTGTTCTTCTTTCGTTGTAGCCTGTGTTCGGTTCGCTCCATCAGTAAATTCATTTTTCTTCCTAAAACACGTACATGCGTTTAGCTACTCTATCTGAATGTACATGTTTGTTTGTTGTTTTTTTTTGTTTTACTGTGCTGTGGTCTGTGTGTGTTTGGCAAAGCAGAGCAGGCCGCAGAAAAAAAGATTACAACATTACTGTTTACCATTTTCCAGCACATTACCAGCAGCAGGTCCTAATGGGAGTCTGAAATGAAGGGTCCTGCCCGTGGTCAAGTCAGCAGTGAACACAGGACAAACTATGTATTCATACATTTTTCATCCTTGTTTCCCTGTTTTTATTTTCTTCCTCCAATCTCTATCCACCCTCCCGCCCCTCCACTACGTACAGGACATCTTGCAAGGCTCAAGATATCTCTGATTTTCATTCCCCCTTCATGCCTTTTCTGTAATCTCCCTCCTGTCCCTTCCCCATTTACCTCCCCCTCCCTCCCTCTCTCTCTCTCTTGCCCCTGCCCTTGTCTTTGCCTCCCTTCATTTCATGAATAAATTTCCACATTTTCTTTTTCTTTTTTTTTTTTTTTGCTGTTCCACCGACTGTACTTTTCCCAACTGTCCCTTCTATGTCCCCCTATTTATTCCTTTATTCTCTCTTGGTACCGACACAGATAACCTGGAGCCTTTAGGTAGTCTGGTAGACACAGACACAAAACTACACACAGTACACACATGATACAGCACAGTGATTCCCACACACACAGGACTTATCTGGCATTTAGGGACATTGGCCCTGCAAATCTGCCCTGTGGCAGACAAGTAGTTGTTTATGCAGTTTGTGTGTGTGTGTGTGTGTGTGTGGTTCCTAATAGGAGAGAGAAAAAGAGAGAGTAAAAGACAAACCCAGGAAATAAGGGGCAGGGGCGTAGACTGGACGAAGGACTACTTTTAATATCTGTAATACTTGAAAGCAGGAAAATAAAATGTGATATGGATTTTTTTTTTTTTCGTTTTTGTTTTACAAAATAGTGCATAATAATACTTAGCTGAACTGTAAAGTGTATTGTTTGGACAGTGGAAAGCAGATTATAGGAGCTAATAAAATGCCAGATTATGGGAGCTAAGAAAATGCCAGATTATGAGTTAATACAATACCAGATTATAGGAGCTAAGAAAATGCCAGATTATAGGAGCTAAGAAAATACCAGATTATAGGAGCTAAGAAAATGCCAGATTATGGGAGCTAAGAAAATGCCAGATTATAAGAGCTAATACAATACCAGATTATAGGAGCTAATAAAATACCAGATTATAGGAGCTAATGTTATGACAGATTATGGGAGCTAATAAAATGCTAGAATATAGACGCTAGTATAATGCCGGAAGGAGCTAATATAATGCCAGATTATAGGAGTTTTACAAAATGTCATATTATAGGGGCTAATAAAATGCTAGATTATGGAAGCTAATATAACGCCAAATTATAGAAGCTAATATAATGCCCAAGTATAGGAGCTAATATAACGCCAAATCATAGGAGCTAATACAATGCCAGATTATAGAGGCTAGTAAAATGCCAGACTATAGGATCTGATATAATGCCAGATTATGGGAACTAATAAAATCCCAGATTGTAGGAGCTGATATAATGCCAGATTATAAGAACTAATAAAATGCCATATTGTAGGAGCTAATACAATTCCAGATTATAGGAGCTAATATAATGCCAAATTATAGGAGCATATATAATGCCAGATTATGGGAGCTAATAAAATCCCAGATTATAGGAGCAAATAAAATGATAGATTATATGAGCTAATAAAACACCAGATTATAGGAGCCAAACAATATCCAATGTTTTGCCACTTAAAATATATTAATATTTAATGACCTACTGTAGCCTAACTGCTAGTCCACCAAAACGTATGTGAAAACCCTGGCACCCTGTCCCATCTGTAGCATACACGCTACAGCCTTGTGTTCAGGAGGTGCACCAAGAGGAAGCGATATTTCATTCTTATCAGCAGAATTGCTTTTCTAACACATTCTCTTTAGTTGTGTTAGCTACTGCTAAATGTCACTAAAGATCCCATTAAAGAAGAAGAAGACAGGTCATTTGAGGGAAGCAGCAGAAAGTCAATGGATCGGAGCTCATCTGTTCCCGGCGCTAATTCATGCTACTGTCCGCTACTGCACGGATGAGCCAGGATGATGTACACCAAGCACCTCAAGCGTCAAGCCTGGGTTCACTTCCAGCCCACAAACAACTAAAGTCTGGCCCTTGACTAGATTTTAGTACTAATTAAATTTGTCCCTGAGGTCATTTCTTTTTTTCTTAAAGGTTTGTGTTTTTTTTTTAGAAATTCCTGCTTTTAGTTTGTTATTTAAAAATAAGGGAACAAATAAACTGTACTAGTTTTTGTACTGTTGTATTGTAAATGATTTATCTTGAACAAAACATTTTTTTCTCAATTTTTTCACAAATATCTAGGTGTTTTTTTTTTTTTTTTTTGATTTCATCCAAAAACTAATGTGAATCACCCCAGCAGAAGACCGTTCTACGTGACTGATACTCAACTGTCGACGCTGAATTTAAGGTCGTTCTGTGATGACATGATTGTCTGCTATCAGTAAAAAAAAACTTGACCTGCGTAGCCATGCTGAAATAAATACTAACGCCTCAGTACGATGACAAGCAGTAGTCCTCGTCTTCCAACCTAATAGTTTAATGCAGTGATTTCTCAATCTTTCTCTGCAGCACCCCCTTTGGTTCATTAGAACATTTTCGTGCCCCTTCCAAAAAAACCAAACAAACAATAATAAAAAAAAGGACACTTGTTTTTAGAAACGGCCGACAGCAAAATCAAAAGTGAGAATTTAAAATAACGGCCTCCTTTGCGATATTATTATCAGATATTCATTTTACACCGCCTTCAACCGATCAGTTTTTGACAGTCTCTTGTTAACCGCGTTTACAGTAGTGGCCCCCTTGCAATGGCCATGTGCCCCCTATATGGGCCGTGCCCCCCCACTTTGAGAACCTTTCCTGAAAGAACACAATTTCTGTCACTAGACGATTCACGAATAGGGATTTCTATTTCTACTTGTTTTTAGTGTCTGTCTTTTAGTGTCCGAGTATTTCATTTTTAATGGGTTAGCCATGACCACGATAAAAAGTTGAGGAAGGCCCTAATAAGAAGAAATGTATTTTGCGACATCTCATCTTTTCTACACCCTAAATGGAAGATTTTACTTGTTTCAGTGCCACAGAAAATAATTAAAACTGTCCTTGTCCTCATGTTTTTGTCGAAGGAAGCAATTCTCGCGTGGAAACGTAGCCTGCAGAGCTACTCAGACAAGCTGAGGATACGTCGTGAAACAAATTTTATATTTATTTATTTTTTATAAAAAGACAACTTAAAATGCACCTCAGAAAAATGTACCTGATGACATTGAAAATGATCATTTTATTTCTTCTCTCCAGGTCTCTTTTTGGAAGCCCGCTTTCTACTCACATTTACCCATCAGTCACGCTGAACAAGAATCAGGACAAGCAAGTTGGCAAACATTTAGTAGAAATGGGCTATAAAGAAGATGAAGACGTAAAATAAGATTGAGCTTAACTTAAATTTTAGGAATGTTATTGCAGCAGATCATTCCCGAAAATCTTCTGATCCATGAAAGTTTTACGGCAAGGGACGAATGTTTTTATGTTTTTTTCACAATGCCATTTATGCGCAACAACAACAACAGAATAGGAGGAGAAATATGGAGCGAAAGCACAATCTCCAAGAGCCATAACCCAGGATTTATGAATCCATTGTTCTTGTGTTTTAAAGTCAGAGAAAGACCAATAAAAAATGTAAAAAAAAGAAGAGCCCAATAAAAAAATCCTAGAATGTTGGTACTCCTGAATGTGGTTTTTCAAAGAATCTCTACGACATTGTGCGTTGTAACGCCTCGCGTTGTTAAAAGGCATGCGTTTACCTCTGTCTGTGTCATAGAGGAAGACAAATCGACTCCAGTCGTAGTGGTCCAACAGTGACAGCAGAGCTCCTCTGATGGACGGCCGGAGCTGCAGGGTGAACTGGCCTTCTCCTTCGGTGGGGAAGCTGGGTGTCACGAGGCTGATGTGCAGGGCCCCACAGAACGACGTCAGCGTGTTCACGGAGCGCTTGTCGTAAAGGCCGAAAATGGCAAACACCCCTCGTGAATACTGAGAGCAAACTGTTGCAGCGATAGGAAGGAACAGGGAGAGGAGAGGAGAGGAGAGGAAAAAAAAGAAAACAAAAGAAAAGCCATTAGAGGACAAATGTTCAAATGATTACGGTATTCCACGTCTGCAGCATACATAATAAAAAAACATCTAAATGCTGGTTGCATCAGTACATGTTAAGTTCATCTTCTAACTCCACTTTAAATCCATTAGCACCACATATCGCAGGAAGTGATTTTGTTAGAATTGTATTTCTTTCCTCCTGAGAAATCATGAGACACACATTTTCCTGAAATTTTCATCTCTGCATTGAGTCATTCCCACAACTCAGCTTTTATAGAAAAAAATAAATAAAAGAAATTACACATTACCTCTGACATTTTGATACCTTAATATCCATTAACCTGGTGAGTCAGATCTGCAGCACCCAGAACATTTCTTTCATATCAGACACACGGCTCATCGTGATTTTACGAAATAAAATATTTCTGATTTGCTTTTTTCATTTATCTTGTGCACAAAAAGGCACTCGAGTCAAGTGCAACATTTCTAAAATGCAACGCCACTCTTAAAACTGCATTCACGTGAAATTCAATAACTTACTTTTTTTTTTACTGTTAATTCCTACCTGAGGCTTTGTTTTTCTTCTATACTCCTAATATTGTGTGTTTATATATATATATATATATATGTTCAGGTTCAATTCTGTTATTTTTACACAGACAGAAGAAAAGTCAAACTCCACACATCAGGTTTCACAGGATAATGGATCAAACCATTGGTGTTCTTCTAAACCAGGCATGGGCAAACCTTGGTCTGGGGACCAGATGCGGCCCGCTTGGCTTTTAAATCCGGCCCACCAACGTTGGGTGTTATTAATTTTTTATTTTAATTATCATTATACTTCTGCCTTTTCCCTGCGATGCCCACATTTCCCCAGAAGAGTGTGTAGAAAAGGCTGAAGCATTTTAACATTTTAGCCTTTATGCATGACTTTTACATGTCATTTACCCCAGTTTATCCCGACGCTTCATCTATCTGCTCCTGACGCGGCCCCCCCGTCAAATTTTAGGACCCCAGTTTGGCCCGCAAGTCAAAAGGTTTGCCCCAACCTGCAACATGAGACTCATTTTACAGTAAGTTTAGTCTTCTGTTTTTTTTTTTTGTTTTTTTTTTCAATGTTTCCTTGGACTTCAAATTTCTTTCAACACTCACTACAAACCAGTTACTACTGTTTATCTTTCCTTCTTTCTTTCTTTCTTTCTTTCTTTCTTTCTCCTCCCTGTGAATCCCATCGTCTCACACCACTCTTAACATTGTCTCATTTTTTAGTACTGACATCACTATCAATATTTTTCTTTTGGTCTTCCTGGACTATGGCTTTTCTCCTTTTCTCTTATAGGATTCAGAGTAATTTCGTTGTCTGCTTCAGGCCCCAGAGGGGCTGAACAGCGAGGGAGATGGAGATTTGATGGTTTTGTTTGCCACCATTGATCAAAAGCTGAGATCCCTGCACGCAGGACTCGGTCGAGCAAAACTCTAAAAAAGCTGTTGGTTGTGATTTGAGCCCAAAAATGTCCAATTCTTAGATTAGTAGACGTGGAGTCACAGTGCAATGAAAGTTTATTTCTTGGTGAATTTTTAAAGGGTTTTCTTTGACTCTTCTGAGCACAGAACAAGTTGAAAAGCTGAGACTAGGCATAACGACGGATGCTAAATGTATCGTCACAGTCGACAAACACACCTTGTTCATGCAAACAAAATTGGACAACAAAAACCTGTAAAAGTCCACACTATAATTTAGCGTTCAGACGAGGATACGCTCGACCAAAACCTTAGCCAGAGCAGAAAAAAAAACTGTCTTCTTGCAGAGGAAAACAACATTTTCCATCCATCATTGTCCACTTGTCCGGGACCGGGTCACAGGGGTAACAGTCTGAGCAGGGACACCCAGACTTCTCTCTCCTCAGACACTTCCTCCAGCTCCTCTGGGGGGACCCCAAGGCGCTCCCAGGCCAGCTCGGGCGTGTCCTGGGTCTTCCCCTAGGTCTGCATCCAGAGGGACAGGACCCTATCTCTAAGGGAGTGTCCTGCAACCCTGCGGAGAAAACTAATTTCGGCCACTTGTATCCGGGATCTTGTTCTTTCAGTCATGACCCAAGGGTCATAACCATAGGTGACGGTAGGGTCGTAGGTTGACCGGTAAATCGAGAGCTTTGCCTGGCCTTGCACTGGGGCGGTTTGCAGCCGAGTGTGAAGCCGCTGGGATGAGAATCAGCATGAGAATCAAGTCTGACGCCATGGTTCTCGACTGAAAAAAAAAAGTGGTTTGCACCCTCCAGGTTGGGGAAGAGATCCTGCCTCAGGTGGAGGAGTTTAGGTATCTTGTCTTTTTTATAACAGATAATCAAACTACAGTTCATTTTGGTCTGGCATACAGTAGGTGTTTTGTCAAATAGAAATTGAAGAAATTCAATCTTTTTGTTTTTATATCAGCCCTTGGGAGCGGAATTAGAAAATGAGCAGGGGAGCAAATACGGGGAAGGGGAGTTGATGTGTGATGAAACAGCCTGAAGCGCCCTTCGCTAAGTGTCGTCTTTTTTTTTTTAAACTTCTGAAAAAGTACTGCTCCAGGTGGAAAATGTGACACTTTTGTCTTCAAACTATTCCTCGCCGTCCTCCGGGGGCCTCCATTAGGGGTGAAGGGAATGCTTCAGCCTCCACCATTTTTCTGTGTTATTCTTTATTCATCTCTTTCTTTGGGCCTTTCTCCTATTTCCCTCTGTCCTCCGACCTCATCTTTGACATTCCCTTTCTAATCTCTGTACCACCCTCAAAGATGTTGTTCTGTTACCACTACCTTCAACGTCACAACAAATCCCATCATCGCCGTCACCCTACGGCCAGGCCGGACTGTGCCAGGTAGTGGCGTCAATGTAATAAAACAACAAAAAAAAAGCTTGCCCTAATAAAAATTTAATGAGTGGACGGGACCTGCAGCATGATGCATCATCACCACAGCTAGGGCACCTCCGTCTCCTTGGTGACCTTTAACTGTTGCCCTCCTCTCCGCTAATTTGACTTGTCAGGTTGTTTAACATGCAAATTCTCGACTTTGTTTTTTCTGCGACTTTCCTTTGAGCCGTCCTGGTCTGACGTAAGAGGCTAGCGCTGCACCTTCTGATGAAAATGTGCGATTGCGATCATTGTGAACAATGTTGCGATACGCGATTTCGATATAAATGAATGATGTCACGTGGTGTCTTAATGTACCAGTCAGCATTTTAAATATTAACTGTTTGACTCAGTTAGGGCCAATGAAGGTTTTAGAAAAACATATGACGTGGGACACAAAATAAACCCCTGAATGAGTAATGCGAAGAACAAATACCGAAACTGCTAACAGCTAACCAGGGCTAGCCGAGGCGTCACTGTGAGGCACACTCATTAGTTACAGTTAGGACACACAGAGCCCGAAGAACTGGCGAGAATGAAAGAAGAGTCCAAATGAAATAAAACTGTTGACACCGTGACGATCTTCCATGTCGCGGTTGATTTGAGCTGAGACGCTGAGTGCAGTGTGTTGAACACAGACTGGAGAGAAATGAGACGCTCTCTGTGCCTCAGTCATTTCAGCTGGAATGATAGCCGTCGTTCACTGCCTGCTATTTATTTTTAGCTGTTTAAGTTTATTCTCCGCATTTCAAACCTTTAGTTAAAAATGCGATAATGGAGATAAATCTCATAATATCGTGTTGTATGCTATCAGGCAATGTATTTATATGCGGAATAGCGGCTAAGGCAGTACTGCAAACTGTACCTCGGTACTGTGAACGGTTCCTGGTCTTTTGTGAAATTAAATGTCATTTAAAGGATTTGCTGCAGTGACTTAATCAGTTGAGGCAGCGAATGCACTAATGAACGACTCCTGATTCAATAATCAACAACGGGCTCCGAACGTCACTGCTGCTTTTAACTGTGAGTGTGATCAGCAGCGTCTGTCCATGTCTGTCTGTGTCTGTGTCTGTGTAAGCTACTGGAACAATAGACTTTTATTACAGTACCAGTGTCGCCTGGTAGCCAGGTGGGGAGAAGCATTATTAAGACAAGGGAAGACAAACAGTGGAGATCAACATCTGGCCGAGGCCACGGTGCCTCTGTGGATGTAATGTATAGTACTACACTGTAACATGAGCAGTGGTACGATGACAGAAACTCACTCATTGATTTCTTCACTCATCCACGCATCCATCCACGTGGCTGTTCATCCATAGATACGTCTTTTCCTCCAATTGTCCATCCATGCTTCAATTTATTCATCTATCCATCCTTCTGTCCTTTCATCTGTCCAACATTCTACAGTATCTGTCCATCCATCCATCTATTCATCCATACACCCACCCAACCATCCATCCATCCATCATCCATCCATCCATCCATCCATCTATTTATCCATGCAGTCACCTATTCATCCATCCATGCGAATGTTCATCCATCCATCTATTTTTCCATCTGTCCATCTGTTCATCCATCCATGTATCTGGTCATTCCTCCATACATGTCTTTTCCTCCATTTGTCCATCCATCCACCCATCTGTCCATTATCCATCTGTTTTTCAATTTGTCCCACATTCTATTAATTCATCCATCCATCTATCCCTCCCTCCATTCTTACATCTATCCATCCATCTATCCATCCATCCATCTATCCATCAATCCATCAATCCATCCATCCATCCATCTATCTATCCATCTATCCATCCATCCAGCCATCCATCCAATATGAGGTTATGTCCAAAAAAAAAGACGTGTAAAAAACAGCCCTGTTATTTTTACACATGATAATATATTTAATTTGTCCCCTAATTGGGGACATAAGTAAGGGGAATAAGTAAACTGGACATTTCAAACTATCCAACCATAGCTGTCATTTAGAGTATAAATGTCCGGCGTCTTGGTCAAATCGTAAAGGTCCAATGTGAGCTAAAGAGATGGACAGAATAAATAGCTA